GGACGGAGGAGAGGAGTCGGCCGGAGCAAAGGCAGCCTCTGATCCTCCGCCTGCTCCCCCAGCCATGGCAGCCACCGTCCCCCTGCCTCGTGCAGGGGAGAAACGCAGGGAACGTGGCTGGAGGTGACAGTAATTAAATGGCAACGTGACCTGGGGCACCAGTCGAGCTTTGGGGTGGGGATGACAGCCCTCCCCCATTCCCCAGAATTATAAAATAGGCCAGAGAAAAAAAGTCCAATGGGTTCATAGAATATTTGGGTTGGAAGGGACCTTCAAGATCATCCAGTTCCAACCCCCCTGCCATGGGCAGGGACACCTTCCACTACACCAGGTTGCTCAAAGCCTCTTCCAACCTGGCCTTGAACACTGCCAGGGATGGGGCAGCCACAGCTTCTCTGGGCAACCTGTGCCAGTGCCTCACCACCCTCAGAGGGAAGAATTTCTTCCTTAGATCTGATCTAAATCTCCCCTCTTTCAGTTCAAAGCCATTGCCCCTTGTCCTGTCACTACAAACCCTTGTCCAAATCCCCTCTCCAGCTTCTTCCTTTTTGGCCCCAAAACATTCTTTCAGTGTTGACCCAGTTGAATATTTTTGTTTCCTGCTGGCCCATTCTCAGGGCTGATGTGCTGAGGCTCCTGCCTGCTGGGTCACAGCCCGGCAGGGCCGGCACAGCCGGACCCCGGCTCCGGCCTGATGCCGTGCGATGGCAGCACTGCTTGGCCAGGTGGGAGAGGCTCTGCCTGGCACCCAGGTGAGTCGTGCTGTGTCCTCTCAGAGAGGTGGGAGGATTCATTTCTCATCCTGGGGAGCAAATGTAAGAGCAGATCCAGGCAGGCATCCTGAAATCCCTCCGAGGGGGAAGACTGCAGTAGGGGGATGCTGCAGCCCAGAAAGTTGGAAAAAAGGTGGGAAAATATAATTCTCCCCTTCTCCTGAGAAGCTGGAAACAACTAGAGATAAGCAGCCAGCTTGGCTTCGGTTCCCAGGTAGAAATATTGATCTGCAGCTGGGTTCGTCCATCCCAGCAGCTTCCTCGGAGCACACGCTGCAGGAAAAGGCACTTTGAAAATAGTGGCATGTTTCTGTGGCGCCTCAAGGAGAGCCTGGCAGGAGTCAGAGATGGGCATCGGTTCCCGAGAGCCACCCGTGAGCCCTGTGCTCTCAAAACACCTGTGAAGGTGCTGACCTGGAGCTGGGACCCTGCAGAGATGCTCAGGCGGAGGCAGCCGGGCAGGGCTGCCCTCGGAGCTGCTGGGAACCCCCAGCCTGGAGCTGCCCTCTAACCCCCCAGCTCATCTTGGGTCGTGGAGGGAGGCACAGCCGGGTCAAAGCTCTGTTGGTGCCAAGTGCTGCGGTGCTGGGGGCACCCATGACCCCGAGGATGGGGGCTTTGAGCGAAGCCCCCCCTGGCCAAGCAGGGGCCAAAGCTGCCCGAGCAGCTCAGAGGGAGACGCCATCAGTGGGCTCCCTTAGCCCGCACCAGCTCCTGCCGTGAGGAAAGGCCAGCACTGTTGCCAGGTGGGCTTTTGGCTGGGGACAGGCCAGTGCCTTCAGCCCCTGAGAGGAGGAAGAGGCAGTGCAGGGTGGCAGAGATGCCTGGAATTAGACAGTGGGAGAGAGGGATGTGCCTGTGCCACGTGCGGCTCCTGGGCTGGCACCTAGGTGCTGCCTGCCGCCTGGTGCAGGAGCACTGACCCCGGGCAGGGCTGGGGCAAGGCAGCTCTGCCCACACCACCTGCAGCTCTGAGGGCTACCCCCTCCCCACATTGCCCACCTAACAGGTCACAC